GCATAGTCTAGGTTTAGGGAAGCCAGGGAGAAACGTGAAAACTGCACAATGTTAGAAGCTATAATTAGTTCTCAAATTTCAAAGTTATTTGTGATATAGACTAGGATTTAATCTATATATTTATATAGAAAGACAATTTAATTTATATAATATAAAGAAAACCTGGTGTACTTTCTCCACATTTTCTTAAGAACGTGTGTGTGTGTTGAAAGGCAACTTTAAATTACTCATGCAAAGGAACTTTAAAATGGCTCAGATCACACACTTCACCAAACAGCAACATCCAGTACATGTCTGAAAGACTGGCTATGGATATAAAAGTCCTTGTTTGCTCCAATTCCAGGGTTTCCCGGCATTTTTTAGAGAACCACAAAATATGGTGATTTATAGATGATGAATAAACTTTCATGCTGGTTGCCAAGTAGATTTATATCCTTGGTGTCACTGCAAGGTTTATTGCTGAGCTGCGCTGTGGGATAAAAGGGAAATCATTTGGAAAATAAAATCCAGGCAATTGGGAGATTTCCCATCAAGACATTTTTCCTTACCACTCTGCAGTTCTGTGTTTTTCCTCCACATTATTTTAATTGGAAAGAACACTGTCCTGTAGGTCTACTGCTGATCAACAGACATAATTTGATCTTTTCTTCCCCTGTTTCTTAGAAAAAGACACAACACCTTTCTCACCAGTCCGTGAAGGACACCAGCAATAGCGTACATGCAGATGACTTTGAATCAGGGAAACGGTCTTTTCGCTAAATCACGCTTCTTGTTTTCCTTGCAGACGGATGAAGTAACAATTTACTTTTATCTGATAAGCACATTTTAAAATTCCTTTGTGAGTAATACTGGGAGAACTAGCCCCAAATATTTATTCAGATGACTGGTGGAAAGACATTCACAAGATCAGATCAGCCAGAGCAGGGACGGCGTGGCCAGTGCTCAGCAGGCTGCGTGATGAACAGCACATTCTTATTACTGCCATGACTTCCTCAGCCATCGCATATCTGCTGGGTCACTGCTACAGCTAGACGCTCAGGGAATGCAAATTAATTTTAATACTTGCTCCAGCCAAAAATCATCAGTGGAAACAGATCTGCCGGAGAAGGCATTCTGCAGTGCCTTCTGGAGAATTCCACTCCTCTACTGCTCCGTGATTTAAATGGCTAGGACTTGGCTCACCTTGGGAAGTGTGGATAATGTAATTCAGATTAAGTGAGTCTGCTTTGCTACATGCAGCAGAGAGAGCTTCCCTGAGTGACTTGGTGTGCTGTGCGCCTGCTGGCATTTAGAATCGAAATTTTTTTGCTACACCCACAGGACCATAATCCAAAGTGAAAAGGTAAGAAGGCAGGCAATAGAGAGAGATACAACAGACTGGAGTGCTCAGACTGGAAGAGGTGGGGAGGTGGAAACTGGATGGGAGTAGTCAGGGAGGGCTTCCTGGAAGAGGGGTTTTCCTGAAACCGTCTTCCTGATGGGTTTCCTACACAATCACAGGTTAAGGAGACAATCCGGAAGAGCCACAAAGACCATCCAGTCAGTCAGAGGGGAAAGAAACCAAGACAGAGGTAAGGCAGCCCTGGGTTGTGACTGCCAGGCTCTTGAACCAGCCTTGGCACTGAGTGCAGGTGGCAGCAGTGACTTATAAAGAATAAGGTGCTCAAGTGAGAAGTGAAAGTCCCCACGTGGCCCAAGTCGTGCAGCACAGGAATCAGAGGAATGAGCCTTGTGGGGAGAGATTGAGACAGAGGCTGGACTTGAGACAGGCTAGCAAGGTTAGGCAGGAAGAGGGACAGACAAGGCTTCTGTCAGGTGGTTTGGGGCCCCTGATTGTGAATATTCCCAGAGGTAAGGAAGGACAGCCAATGAGACCAACTGGGAAAAGCAGGCAGATGGCAAGTCAGGTTGGAGGGGTCTGGGCAGCAGCGGGGAGAGGGAATCCAGGGAGGCTGGAACGCTGGCCCCCCGGCCCAGGAGGAGATGGTGAGGGCCCGGCTTGGGGGCTGCAGCGGGGCAGGATAAAGCCACGGACTGCTCAGTGGGAGACACTAGGCCTACTACTTAGGAGGCGCCTCAGGATTCGTTAGCCAACAGGAAGCAGAGCTGGCCCGTGGGCCCATGGGGCCAGTGTCCCTGACATCAGTCCCCGTCCGAGGGGGCATCTGTCAGCCGTCAGAGCTCCCACCTGAACCCCTCAGGTCTGCGCCAGCCCCATCAGAAGCAGCGCCCCCAGCTCAAAAGCAATCCGACTCTTCCTTCCAACCGACATCTTGACACCACAGCCAGAGCTCGTTCAGGCGGGTGATGTACTAACTAATTTAGCATGTACGAAAAACATCTGCATCTCGCTTTTATCATCCTGCCAGCAGACAGGCTGAAGACAAGATGTGCGCTGTAGACTTGCTTAATGGGGCCTTAAGCACTCCCTGCCCTTGCCCGAGCTCACATGAGGCTCTGGTTGCAGAAGTTGTGGGACTGAGCTGACCTAACACAAACAAACACAAGGGTAAACCTCTCATCAACCATAAACACCGCGGGGATCAGAGGAGCGGCCGTAAAGCTGCGCGCCGACGAAGCCCGCCCACAGCCTTCTAGTCGGCAGGACTGTCTCAGAATTGGGGGAAAAATAGGTGGCTAAGTTACTTAAAGCTATTGATGGGGTCAGATCGCCTTTTATTATTATACACGATTTTAAGATTTTTCCTTCAAAGGAATGTGAACTTGTAAGGATAATATCTGTTTGGGGCAAAACATCACAGTTGGATGATGGAGTGGATAGAACCACGTCTCCCCAAAAAGATGCATTCAGAGCCCCTTCCTTGCACATGTGATCGTGGCTTTATTTGGAAACAGGGCCTCTACAGATGTCTGCAAGTTAAAGTGAGGGTGGCCCCTAGTCCAATGACTAGTGTCCTTATAAGAAGAGGAAATTTGGACACAAAGACACACAGACACAATGGAGAAGGCAGGGGTTAGAATGAGGTTTCCATATGCTGAGCAATGCCAAGGAGCCCAGAAGATACCAGAGCTGGGAGAGGGGCACAGGATGGCTCCTCCCTCAGCCTCCAGGAGGGATCAATCCCTTGGACTCCTGGATTTTGGACTTCTGGCCTCCAGACTATGACAGAACAAAGTTCTGTTACTGTCCCACCCAGGCTAGGGCCATTTCTTACAGCAGCCCTAGGAGATTAGCACAGGCGATCAAGGCAGCATCCTTTTGACATTTGAGCTGATGCTCTTCCGGACCCCTGGGGCAGGTGCTATGGCACAGATGGAAGGGAGCTGGCCCCGAGGGTGAGGACAGAGGGCCCCACACGTACCAAATTCCCAAAAGTCCACGGGTCTCCATTTTTTTTTCCTACACAAAACGATGGGATCTGAGAGAAAAGGAAGCTTCCTAGTTGCCATTTTTTTGGGGTCTACGTGAGTATGTGGAGCTGTAATGTGACACTGTTTTATATTTGTTGACAACACATTAGTTTATCCGACTGCTTTCATCAGGCAGGATCTTCAAGAATGTTGAGGCCAAGTGGCCCCCACACCACAGGCACCCTGGCGGCCTCCCCAGGACGAGCCTGGACACTGAAGCCCCTGGGGGACCCCAGCGGTGGCTGATAATCTGGTCTCTCATAGCGCCTTGAGACAGCTGCACCTGAACCCAAACTGCTCTTTGTTGAGGCACAGACAATGGAGAACACACCCAAATAGAGTCTCTGCCAAACGCCAGTGGAAGTTTTTGCACACTCATTCTGTTTTGTCCTTTTTTTTTAAATTTTGGGGGTGGGGGTAATTAGGTTTATTTATTTAAATGGAGGGACTAGGGGTTGAATTCAGGACCTCGTGCAGGCTAAGCACGCGCTCTACCACTGAGCTGCATCCTCCTTGCCAGTACTTACTCTGCTGATTCCCTTTTCTCAGCATCCTGGAAAGTGTGCCTGGGGAGGTGATCTGCCGCATCCTTCACCACGAGAAGGATGCATTCAAGCCCGCTCACGGTGGGGTCTCAGACAAGCCCCCCGCAGAGCTCTGGGTAGGTGAGGGAGACTTAGCTGGCCCCTGGTTAACAGGAATCCTATTACAACGCCCTTTGTCCTCCAACCCTCATTTCCCCTGTAAGATCTCAGTGATGTTTGCTAAGCTGCATTTTATTGAATATGGTTATTTCCCCAGAGCGCTCTTATTCAGACTTATACCCATGATTCATCTCCTTGGGGCCAGAACAGTTTCCTAGGAAGAAAGGTCTTGTTCCTCTACCCAAAGGGATAAAACTGAGGCTTCCCCAGGCCTCCAGATTTTAAGATTTGAGTTGGCAGGCCAACAGCAGAGGCCTCCACGTCCCCACCTTTGCCCTTGTCTCTTACTGTTATCTTTGCTGGTTTAATAGTCTGTTTATAAGCTCCACGAAGAAAGACCGAGGCCAGCCTCGCTCCCTGCACTCTCCCCAGCTCCCAGCGTGGGGCCTGGCCCAGAGAGGCTTCCTGACAACTCCTTCCCTTGTGAGTCAGTGGGCGCCGCCCTCCCGGGGCCAGCTAGACCCCGGCCTCCCAGTGCTCGGAAAGCCGGCCATCCCTACGCCGAGCTCACAGCAGGAGAGGGCTTTCGAGATGACGAATGTTGATGTAGACAAGCTGGAGTCAACCTCTCACCCTGGGACCTGTTTCACAAGCTATAAAGGGCAAAGGGGAGCTCTTGCAAATATCTGTGAGGAGCCAAGAATCTGAACTGGCTACCCTGGCCGCTGCGGTCGCGTGGCTTCTTTCCCAGCCAAATCAGTACATTTGTGTCCCGAGTTGTCCCTGCTGAATTCGGGGCCCATGTCTAATCTCTCGAAGGGGGCTGGCTCCCCAGGCAGGCTGGATGACACGGAGGTCTGGGGACTTGAGTGCACACAAATCCTGCATGTGTCAGATCATCACTTGGACCATCAGCTCTGGGGGAAGGTTCCAGCCCCGAGACCCCACAGTCTCGTCAGCCCTCGCCAGCCACCTGCGACTTACCGCTGAGAGGGTGGGGAATGGTGAACTGCTTCTTGTTGGCACGGACAGGAAGGAGACTCTGCTTCGGGCCCGGGCTCTCCTTCTGCTGGGCTTTCCTCTGCTGTACCATGTGTTCCAGCTTCTTCAGACGTTCTTGCGAGCGAGAAATGAACTGAGGTTTACGGACCTCCAGTGCCTCCTAAGAGGAGCAGAGAAAACACTTCATTCTTAAAAGAAGCGATGCAGGAAGGCAACATCCATCAGGTTTGGACCAGAAGCAGATCGACAGCACAGCGCACGAGCACGTCGCGGTTTTCTCCCAGCACCTCGTGGAAAGATGCTAACAGTCGTGTTGACGACTCAGGACCTGGTGGTCAGTCTGGGTCAGCACCAAGGGCCCCACTGCAGCACGGCTGATGATAACCGACTCTGAGACTGTGGCACAAAGCCACACCTCTACCCAGTCCTTCTCCTACCTGTCGATTCAGTCATTTCCGACAGACCAAAATCGGAACGCCCTGAATTTCATATTCCAACGCAACATGGGTGGGAAAGGAATGAGGCCTGATGAGTGAGTCACTTGCTTCTGCTGGGGGCTGGATGCCTTCAGCGGCACAGAACTCCCTTAATTTGCCGGAGACTACCCCCCACCCAGCACGAAACGCGTGTCTCTTCAGGAGAAACAGGCACCGCGGCTAACGGAAACAGCTTCTCCTCGCAGGAAGAGCTGGCGAGGTAGCTCTGCCTACGCAAAATCGTTTTGCAAACTCCAGAGGAGGTCAGAACTCCCGTGTTTCCACTTCAGCCTCTCCCTCCTCCCGCTCCGAGCATGCACTAACCACCTGCACAGGTTTACTGAGAAAGAATAACCATCGCGACCTCATTCTGCTCTGGGCCAGACACTGGACCCGGTGCTCTGTGTGTATTCATTGTCTGAGAATCCCCACTTGGATTCTGGAAGGCAGACATATTCATTCCCATCTGACAGAGGCAAAAACTGAGGCTCGTCGTGATCTGGGAGATCGCATGGTGACCCTGCAGCTGTGGGAGCCCCACGCTCTCCCCACCCTTCCTTTCCTTGTCCTCACTTGCTATTCCTCGCAAAGTGCTGTTCCAGCGGCGCCCCGGCCTGGAGGGCTACCCCAGCCACGCCAGGGGCTCGAGCTCCAGCTCTCCTGGTGCCATCTGTCAGCCCAACCTCACAGACCACCAAGCACAGGTGATTCACACAGGTTTCCCGCCACGCCTGGCTGTGAGTCCTGGGCGGCATGGGCCGTGTCTCATCCACGTCGCACCCCTCACAGCCACTGCCCGGCTCTGCACAGAGTTGTGCTCCACACAGGCCCCCGGGAGGGGCCGCCGCAGCAGAGATGTCCCCTGCCCCACTCCTCTCCCAGCCCTGCTGGGAGCTCAAAGCTCCCGGGGGAGGGCAACGCGGGCTCCGTCTATGTCATGGATGTGCCCTTGGCCACTGGGCCAGGAAAGGGGTCTCTTGGCCAGCTGGCCTCCGAGGTGCCAGCCCCAGGTCCCGGGCACAAGTCACTGGGGCCTGGAGGGCCGGCCCACGGGAATGGCCTGCGGATGCACGCATGGCTGCTGCCCGGAGGCCCCTCCCGAGGCTGGACGCTCGGGATGCACTGGGGACAGCATCCGTCTCTCATGATGGGTCCACCCAGGCCCAGGGCTGCAGGGGCGAGCAGGTGAAGCCAGCTGCACGGCTGCAGGGCGGTTTCCAACTTATCTTGTGTCCTTCCAGAAGGCGGCTGCCACGCAAACCTTCTCCAGGTTGCTTAACCTCTAATCTTTACACCTGTGTGTTTTTGAACTTTGAAAATATTTGTACACATTACTTCTACAAATGGGAAAAGACACCAAATGAAAGCTTCCATATCCTTGAACTCACGGCCACATGACTGTGGGACTTCCTTAAACTTTCAAGGGCTTAATGTTCTTATCTGAAGAACCACAGGGTTCTTATTTAACCACAGGGTTATAGGGACCCCTGCCTCGCAGGGGTGCCGTGAGGATGGAAGGCTCTGACGCCAAGGAAGTGACCCCTCCCCCCATGTCGGGGCACCTGAAAGTTCTCAACAAATGCTAAGTCATTGCTCCAATCACTGTTGATGGCCTGCCAGCCCCATTCTAGCCCAGTGGAGAAGTCGTCATTATCTCTGGTACTCACACGGTGCAACAGAGGCCCAGAGAGGTTAGGGGACCTGCCCAGAGTCACACAGCCACCAGGCAGCGTCAGGTCTCCAGCCTCAGAAGTGGAAGTGAGCTCATGGGCCCATGGGGTCAGGGGCTTCCTGGTGGCATTCAAGTCCAGATGCAGAGAAGGCCTTACCTGCAGGGTCAAGGAGCTCGCAGGCGTACGCTGGCTCTCAGGACAGTCTTCCGACAGGTCATGAGCCACTGGTTCCCCGGGGGGCGCTGGCTCTGGGGACGTGGGCTCAGGCGTGGTGGGGTCCTCCCTCCTCTTGCATTCCTTTATTTTAACCACCAAGTCACAGCACGTGTAATCCCCTGGGAGAGAAGATTTAGAATGCCATTTAGAGGGCACCAAGTGATTTTCTCCTGGCTCCTCAACATCATTACACACAGGAGACAATTTTCAAAATAGAAACGCCAGCAGGTTATTAATGGGCCTCGTTAAGTGACGAGATCACGTCTCGGCACAGACGCCCCGCTGCCCCGGTCACAGGGAAGAGCGCCTACAGGCAGCCAGAGCGCGTGACGGGCTGACCGCGCCGCGAAGGCGTTCCCGGGGCGTCTGACGTTCCATATGCCTTTGCTCACAACGCGAAGCAAATTCTTCTATCCTGTGCTTCATACTGAGAGTGGCCTGTACGGTTATTACAGCTGGGTTGTTTGGGAACTGGGCATTCACTTATCTTAGGTTTGCTATGCTAATGATGTAAGACAGAGGAGTGGTGTTCAATTATTTATCCCTCCCCTTAATTTGCCACCTGCTTTACATTCGTAATTGGCCCCCTCTTCCTCTCTCAGAGCTGGATTTGGCCTCCCTCTCGGGGCCACTCTGACATTCCTTCGTGGAAAAAGTCAAGGGATGAGTTGATTCAGCAGCTCTTTGGGCTGGGCAGCCCTTGGAGTGGTGAAGGGGAGGCTAACACACACTCACTGACCACTCGTTGACCTGCTGCTCTGCCCGGAACACAACGTCTGTCCTGGCCCGCTCTTCCTGTCTGAGCTTCCCCCACCACACGTCTCCCAGCCACAGCCTCAGGCCTCTCTGGTTCTGAAACTCAACAGCATCCTCCTCACTGCTCATCCGCACGCACGCTCTCTTATCTCCATGAAGCCCTTTTGATTGCTCCACCCAGTGACCTCTTACCTCCAGGCCGAGCCCAAATTTCTCAAGCAGCTGCCCTCCCCTTCCCGAGGCAGCTCCATCCTGCCCCCTCTGTGCTCCCGCAGTGGTCACACGCCACACCCTCAGCAGCACCCACGAGCCCGTGGCGGGATGCTTTACCCCCACAAGCCTGAGACTCCCTCCCGTGAGGGCTGGACCGTGTCGTTCTCATTCTGCAACTCTCCACACTGCCAGCCCCGGTGCTGTTGGGAGTTCTGCTGGGAGGAGAGAGGCGGCCATTAGGAGGCCCACCTGAGCACAGGATGCACCTCCATGGTCCGGTGAAACTCTTCTCTGATCCCCCAGTTACAACCCCCATCGTCCATATCTGGATCCTCTCTGGTCTGGCCTGGACCAGCTGTCCTGTCTCCACTCAAAATCCATCAATGTACCCTACAACCTGTAAGCCCTACAGGCAGACCAGACTTTCCCTTTTTTAACTGAAGTAGAGTGGATTCATAACGTGTCAGATCAGACTTTTCCTGGCTTGTTCATGGTGAAGCTTCCACCTCCAGCTACCAGTTTTGATTCCACCAGCAACATGCTACTTCGAGGTTGTCAGACCCTGTCCTTGTTCTTCTAAGCATTCGCTCCTATTCCCTCTGCCACTCCCCTCATCCCTGCTTCAGGCCCGACCCCTAGCCCAGGTAGCTGTCCCCCGTCCCCCTCCGCTGGAGGTAATTATACTTTCCAACACACTATCTCCATTTCCTGTGAATCTTCCTCCGAGCTCACCTTGTACACGGAAGCCAGTTTCCTTCCATCCCTCCCCGCCAGGAAGCACCGAGCACACCACCAGATCCGACAACCCGAGGGCAGCTGGAACACGCCCGTCTTCCTCCATGCTCACAACCAAGCTTTGCCCATCATCTTGAAAGTCTGTCTCCACTGCTGTGGCCGGTTCTCCCCAGTGACACGCTCTGTACTCAGCTCTGGCCAGGTGCCCGCGCCTCGCCCTCTCCCATTGTTCCTCCACATTGTCCAGGAGACAGTCACCTTCAGGGCAAATCTAATTAGGTCTCTTGGCCTTCCAGGGCTCGGCCCTGCCTCCAGTCCAGACTCCCTTAGTGGGTTTATAAGGACCTTTCAACTTGACCCATGTGACCTTAGATTCACACTAGGCCTCCCCTTCACCCCTGCACTCTGGTCCCTTGGACCCCAAACCAGTCATGCTCTTTCTGTCAGTTCTTTGCTTTGTGCGTGCCTCTCCCTCAGCCCGCAATGCTCTTCACCCTCAGGTCTGATTTTTAAATCTCTCTTCAGCTTTCAGGTCCTTTCTCAAAATCATTTCCTGGAGGAAGATGCCTCGGTGTCTACCCTCCCAACCCCTGGAGCATCTGGGGTTGGCTTCGGCTTCCTGATAGCTCACCACACACAGTTATGACCCCGATATCCCTGGCACTAAACCAAGAGCACCTGGAGGGCAGGAAGCACTGAGCACAGTACCTGGCACACAGTAGGTGTTTAATAAATGCTTCTTTCATGGCACACAGTGGGTATTCAGTAAATGCTCCTTTGATGAATTAATGAATAAAGAACTAGAGAATTAACTTAGGTTAGAAGAGAAATTATATTTATCAAATACCATAAATATTTTAACTTTTACAACCCAAAGCTCTATCATCTTTTTCTTTCTGTCCTTATCTATAGCTCTTTGGAAAAATCTTCAGAGTGACAGGAAATCTAACTTTTCCACTGACACAACTGGACACCACTGATCTTTTTTCTATTTCATTCCTATGTTCTTTTATATATCAATGGTCACTGCAGTGTTAGTCCAGGTCCTCCACTTGGCCTTTAAAGTAATAATGACATGGTTTGAATTCCTGGTCCAGTCCCCTGTGAGAGACTGAGATTGGGACCTACCTCAAGGGCGTCAGGCCCAGCGCACCTGTACATATTCCGTGTGCAGCACACGTGGTGGCCTACACCCCGCAGCCATCGTCCTAGCTCATCAGTTACAGAGGACCACGTCAGCCTGGCGGCCCCGCTGCCCTCAGGGCCGCCACCCCAGCATCTCAGAGCCCCTCTAGCTAAGCCCGAAGGCCTGCAGGGCACCTGGGAGCGGACTACTTCTCAGACTCAGCTTCTGCTGGCCTCGTGTGCAGTAGGGCTGGGAATCCCTGACCCGTGTGGCACTGCCTCCTCGATGCCTCGGAGGCAGGACTTGCCCACCACTTAAATCTGCCGGTCCTGTCCCTAACTCTGCTCGCACAGTTAGAGAAGGGGCAGCTTCCTAGGGGAAGCTTGGGGGAACTGGGGCCCGGGAAGACCCCACACCGTTTCCCCTCCGAGTACCAAGGAAGAATCACCTCAGCCCTGCCTCCCTTGCTCCTTACCTCGGGGCAACTCTCTCTCTACCTGAACACCAGGGTCTTCCTGCGCAGGCGTGCGTGCATCTCGGAGGGGGCAAAGGAACCCGGCTACGGGGATTCTGGGCTTCAGGAAGCTTTGCGATGGACTCTCCGCGGGTTCAGAAAGGTCACTAGGCTGACCGCGGTTGCTTGGAGAGCCTGGCCCATCGGGAAGATGGTTAACCAGTCTCCCTTCCGCTGGGGGAGCCGACACGGTCACACGTGCTCCTCCGTGTTGCTTCTCACTGCTTCCAGAAAATACTTCTGGTTCTACCAAAAATAAAATGAGAGTTGTGCTCAAAACTTCTGACGAACCCACATCTAACGCACTGACGTCTGCACGCCAGGCTCTCCCAGAGACGGGCTACCGGGCGGCGGCGCGGCCTCGGGAGGGCGGGAGCCGCAGATGCCGACGCGCGAGCGGTCTCCTAGCAACGCACGGGCATCTGCGGCCGGCTCCCAGGAGCTCCGCCCCACACACGGCTGCAGCGCACGCGGCCAAGGAGTCTGTGCTCGCTCGTGCCCTTGGAGCGCTGAAGACCTTCTCAGCAGCAGGCAGGCAAGTGCGTGGCTCCGCACTGGGGCCAGATCCCACCTCTACCACTTACACACTCTCTGCCTCCTCCACAAAACTGAGGTAAGAGATAATGATATCAAATACTATTTATTTATTACATTTCTTTTTATAATAAATCTACCTATTTAAATAATAAGCAATGTATGTATATAATTTATGTAATTGTATTTACATAATATATATTTATATTTTATATAAATAATATATATTTAAAGTATTTAATATATAATTTATGTTCTAAAACAATCTATAAATTTTATAATTATATTTTCTAAAATTTATATAATTACATTTTATATAATTATATTTTATACATAGTTATATAATTTTATAATTTGTAATAATAAATATAAATTATATAACTGTATTATATATTATATTACTATATAATAAAATTATGAATTTGTATATTTTAATTAATTTTAATATAATATTTTATGTATAAATTATAAAATCTATATAATTATTTTATACATAAGATTATATAAAGTTTATTAAATTATATTTTATATAATATGTATGGATATTATTAACATGAATACTAAATGTTAAAATCAAGACAACACTATAATAAAATAATGATCCCTGTTAAAGTGTTTAGCAAGTACCTGATATATAGTAAGCATTTACTAAACTTTAGTTATCATTACTACTGCAGAAACACTGATGCCAGGTTATGTCCTATGGCAAGTGTAATAGGCAGGAGGTAATTTGCCAAGTCTCTCCATGCTCACCTCCAATAAAGCAGTGGATCTAAAATGTGTACAATGTTTTGCTTGTTGCCACATTGTAATATCAAAGGTCTGGAAACCACCTTAACGCCCATCAATAGGTGACTATTAAGGAAAGTATGGGACATTCATGCTTTGCAGCAGTGAAAAAGGAGGCACATGCTCTTGGGTAGATGTGGAACCATCTCTCAGGTACGTTATCAAGTCAACAAAGCAAAGTGGAGACAGTGTGTCGGGTCTGCTTCCCCAGCAAATACTCATCTGCTTAGAAAATCTCAGGAAGGACTCAGAAGATGCTGGGAACGGCATCGTCTCGGGAGAGGGCAGAGCAGGACCAGGAACTGGAGTGGAGGGGAGACTTTCTTTTCACTCTTTCCCTGTTTTATACTCTTTTGGTTTTCCTTCTTTATCTTTCAGGATACTCCATAAATTTTTAGAAGTTACTCACTTTAAAGAAGGTAGTAACTCCTCAACAGGCACCATCTCCTCCCTATTCTGATGCCACTGGAGCGGACACACACTGCCGCCAGTGGGATGTCCACACCTTCTGCTCACCAGAGCAGAAAAGAAGTCCTGGGAGTCACTGGAATAATCTTCAAAGATTCTCACTATTTTTTCTCAGATGTCTTATACAAAAAGGAAATAAGCCCGTGGCTACCAGGCACTGATTAGAACAATGACTTCTTTTAAAATGTCACTTGTCTGCAATTTGTTCCAGCCCCTCTGTCCCCAAGTCCCAGACAGTGAACAGGCTGAGCATGGCGAGGCCATGTGGGGCAGCAGGGAGAGATGGAACACAGAGGGTCCTCTCAGAGCACTTCCCGACGGTGGCAACTGAGGTAAGAGAGTCAACAAGGGGGTGGACCCCACTTTCCTTTTCTCACAAACCAACAAAACAAGGGTACCTCTTGGTTCCCTGAGCCTGGTACATAGAAACTACCCTCAAATGGTGGTGGTCACAGACTTTGTCACTGGAGAGGGGATATGGCTTCCTATGGCAGAGTCGGGCTTTCCTAATTTGTACAGAAAAATCTTACCAACCGTGTATTTCAAAACCTGTCAATTCTGTTTAAGTATGAACTATCATAATCTCTACTCAGCCATAAAAAAGGATGAAATAATGCCATTTGGAGCAACATGGATGGACCAAGAGGTGATCATACTAAGTAAATCAGAGAAAAACAAATATTATGTGATATCACTTATATGTGGAACCTTAAAAAAAAACAAGATACAAATGAACTTATTTACAAAGAGACTCACAGCCATAGGAAAAAACTTACGGTGCCCAAAGGGGAAAGGCAGGGGGAGGGATAAATTAAGAATTTGGGATTAGCAGATACAAACTGCTGTATATAAAACAGACAAACAACAAGGACCTACTGCACAGCCCAGGGAACTACATTCAATACCTTGTAATAAACTATAATGAAAAAGAATATGGAAGGGAATATATATATATATATATAATATATATATTATATATATATTTTTATATATATATATAACTGAATCACTATGTTGTACACCAGAAATTAACATAACATTGTGAATCAACTAAACTTCAAGTTTGAAAAAATGATAAGCCAAAAAGTCCTAAAATAGCTCTTCCTTTCTCTGTTGCTTCCTTTCATTAGAAGTTCTCTTCAAGAATCAAAAACTTAATCACCAGGGATGCAGTCCCAATCTGCTAGTTCCCTCTGCTGTTAGACTCTTTAAATTAACATATTATTTAGAGATTCATGGAGACCTAACTATCTATCTATTGACCTACCTACCTACCTATTTCTTAATTATCTACCTGGTTCGATGTAAATTCCTGCGTGAATGGTTCTGTGCAAGTCAGATGTCCAACTTGTGAGTTGAAAGCGTTAGAACAACTCCCAGGGGGAATGTGGTCGTAAACTGGGGAAAAGAAAAGTGTGCAGCCGGAGAAGCACTTCTCTGACAACTTATCGATCTGGCCTTTCTGTGGATTCCGAGACGCACGGTCGTCAGTCACTGGTCCTCAGGCAGGCTGGCCCAAGGCAAGGCAGCCACATCTCTTTTTCCTGTACACTCTGTGTGCAGGCTGGACTTCGACTTCTCTATTCATGCCCCAAGTTTTAAACTCCATCACCCCTGTGAAGACCTGTCACGCTCAGGGGCTCTGCCCGTCTTCGGAGAAGTTGAATAAACCATTAGCCTCTGCCAGGCGTTTCAATTTCCTGGACTGAAATGCAAAGCTGGCTTCCTGAGCCTGCCGCTCGGGGGAGCTGGGGCACCGTGGGTCTCCTCTAAACAGTGGCAGCCCCTCCATCCCCTTCTCTAAGTTGCATCATCCTCATGGCTGATATTCTATGGCTCAACGATCCAGCGAACTCGCCTGCCCAGGACTGAGCTGCACACTAGGAACAACCAAAGGACCTGCCCAGCGCTCACGAGTTCCATTAAACTCTTCTCTTGGACTCAGAGTTGAGCTCCTGGGACCTTGTACGGCGCTTACTTGTGTTCCTCTAAAACTCATTTTTTGTTGTGAAATGCATTCTATTTATAACTTAAAGAGCCTAAGCAGAGCCCCCACGAACCCTCCTAGATTAAGCAGAACATTCCGTGGGCTGCAGCCGTCCTCACCGAGCCCCTCCCGGGTCACGCTCGCCCAGACAGAACCGCTCACCTAAATTTTGCGTTGCTCAGTTCATTGTTTTTGTCTGTGATTTTCCCACCCATGTAGGTCCCATATTCAGTGTATTTCCAGTATCAAAAATCTGAATAGCAGGCATCTTAAGGTAAGGACATCATCACATCTGTTGGCAAAAAGCTTTCAGGAGATGAGTTTAGCCGACTGGCTGGGCTGCGGCTTCCCTGAGAACTGATGGGATGTGATTCTGGGGAGACAGAGGTGAGCCCTGGATGAGTTCTGAAAACCAGAGGCCGGCCCAGGCTGGCGGGCGGGAAGACCGTCAGGGCACTGGGCTGCACCGCCTTTTCTGTTCCCGGCCTCACTGTGTCCAACTGCGGACCTGAGAGCTAAGTTCCAGCAGGGCACTTCTCCGTGCTGACATGTGGGCTCTGGGCTGCCCCGGGTGCAGGGCAGGGAGGGAAGAGCAAGGACCTCGTCGCCCCAGCACTGAGACCAGCCAGGAAGAGACCTGACCTGGGCCAGGCAAGGCCATCACCAGTGCACGCAGACCCTCGGCACAAAATGAGAAAAAGCTATCTGTGCCTCAAGACACTTTGCCTCCTTTGGCAGGAAAATGCCATCATGAACCAATCTGACAGAAAATGGTGTTTTACTGCTTCTTTCCAAATATTAGGGTGATGCATAATCTTTCATGTTCTTAGATGTGCCCCTGTTGAGTCACTAGCCCCCATGGGCACATGATCCCAATAATTATGGCAATTCAGCTCCCATTAGGAGATGAGCAAGTGGAGGGCGGTCGCTAAGGAGGGGGACCAGCACAGCAGCCACGCTGTCAGAGGAACCGCAAAAGATGAGCAAGAAAACCACGGAAGACACACACCGGCCCAGAGAGCACAGCTGTTTGGGGACACTTAACAGCCCAAGGCAGGTAAATAACATAGAAAACACATTTTAGAATCATTTATCTTCAAATTAGTCCAAATTTGTTACAGGTGTTTTGATTTTGACGCTGAAACCAGCTCGCTACAAAGATTGTCTCTCAAGGTTTGTGTCTCAGCCCCGTGGACCTTCCTGCCTCCTGAAAACAGACTGGAACCAGCCAATCAACCAAAGAGACATTGCTGAGCAAAGTCGGCTTCCTTGAATCCAAGACCTCTATTTTTCTCCCACATGTGAATGTTTCCAGAGGTGACATTTTCTCCCCTCAAACATTGGACCATCTTACAACAGACTGTGTCTTTGAAACACAATAACAGGAGAGAAACCCTCACACTATCTGGAATTACAGAACACGGAAGATGAAATGAAAGAAGGTAGAGTTGGTTGACGGCCCACAGAG